GCTCTTCATCGATTCATATCGAAGTCAGCAGATAAGTGCTGCCATTCTTCAAGATTATGAGGTTGGCCGCCCAGAAGGATGAATTAGGAAAACAGAAGAAATTTGAATGGAGTTGGGAGTGCCAAACTGCATTCGACGAGCTGAAGTCTTATCTTAGCTCGCCACCTCTATTGACTAAGGCCATCGATGGGGAAATTCTTTATTTGTATCTGGGAATTTCATATGAAGCCATTAGTTCGGTTCTGGTAAGAGAAGAAACCAAGCAGTAGAAACCAATCTACTATATCAGCAGTGTACTGCACGGGGCAGAGCTGAGGTATCCTATAGCTGAGAAAGCAGCATTAGCAGTTGTCACTTCTGCCAGGAAGTTGAGGCCATATTTCCAGTCACACCCAATTATCGTTCTCACAGATCAACCTCTCTGGCAGATTCTGCAGAAACCAGAATGCTCTAGAAGATTAATTAAGTGGGCAGTGGAACTGGGGGAGTTCGAACTAACGTTTCAGCAGAGATCGGCAATCCGAGCTCAAGCACTAGCAGATTTTATTGTCGAATGCACCCCATGTCCTTCAACCTCTAATCCAGAGTCCAACGACTGGACCTTATATGTTGACGGGGCATTTAGCAGCAAAGGTTCGGGAGCGGGCGCTCTCTTAATCGGCCCAGAGGGTTATCGAAGCGAACATGCTTTAAAATTCAACTTTGATGCAACAAATAACATGGCTGAGTATGAAGCTCTGCTACTTGGCCTACAGTTAGCATTAGAGTTAAAAATCAGCGTAATTCAAGTATACAGTGACTCCCAATTGGTAGTAAACCAAATCAACTCAATCTGCGAAGTCGTTGATCCTGTGATGGTGAAATATGCGGCCTTGGTGGCCAAGCTAAAATGCAAATTCCAGAAATTCTGTCTGAGCAAAATCCCCCGAACTGAGAATGAACAGGCAAATTCACTCTCCAAGTTTGCCTCTGATAGCTCTTTAAGTTCCAGATCTGTTTTTGTCAAGATGCTAGATGAACCAAGCTTCATAAAGCCTCGGGTGATGGAGATTAGCACAAACCCTGACACGCTGAGCTGGACTAATTCAACCATCTCCTTTTTGCGAGATGGGATAGCACCTGAGGATAGGCAGGAGGCAATGAAGTTGAGAAAGAAAGCATCTCGATATACACTCGTTGATGGGGTCCTATATAAGAGATCTTTCTCACTTCCTCTTCTGCGGTGTTTGAATCCCTATGAAGCTGAATATGCACTTCGAGAGGTGCACGAAGGTGTCTGTGGAAGTCATGTCGGTGCTAGGACTCTGGCTCACAAAGTCTTAAGGCAAGGATATTATTGGCCAAACATGCATAAAGATGCCACTTACTTTGTTTAGAAATACACGAAATGTCAATTCTTTGCACATCTGACTCACCAACCAGCAGAGGAGCTCACGAACTTGGTAGCACCATGGCCATTTGCTCAGTGGGGACTGGATCTTTTAGGCCCGTTCATAAAAGGGGTCGGTGGTATAACCCATCTGGTTGTTGGTGTGGATTATTTTACAAAGTGGGTTGAAGCTCGGCCTTTATCTAGTCTTACTTCCAAGAAGGTCGAAGATTTTGTTTTCAGCTCGATAATCTGCAGATATGCGATCCCGAATCAGATTGTGGCCGATAATGGAACTCAATTCAATTGCTCCTCATTCCAAGATTTATGTTCCAGTTATGGGATCAAGTTACAATTCACCTCCGTTTATCATCCGGAGTCCAATGGTATGGTTGAATCTGTTAACAAATGCATTTTGGACGGTATAAGGCCGAGATTGGAACAGCATAAGGCCAAGTGGGCAGACGAGCTCAACAACGTCCTTTAGGCATACAGAACCACAAGCCTAACTGCCACAGGTACCACTTTAAACCAAGTCCATTTGACTAATTTCTATATTATTTTACTTCTTCTGTTACGCTTTACCTTGGAGCAAATATGCATAATGCATAAAGCGCATTTTAAACTTATACCTAACTGAAATAGGTGAAACACCCTACCACTTAGCCTTTGGCACCGAAGCAGTCATTCCTGTTGAAATAGGAGTCCCAAGCTTTCGGGTCACCCATTTCGATGAAGGACGAAATGGACAAATGCTTCGGGAAAACCTTGATCTGCTTGCCGAAGTCAGAGAAGAAGCTCGGCTTCGAACTCTTGTATACAAGCAGAAACTAGCCAATTTCTACAATAAACGGGTCCGCCCTCGAACATTCAACGTAGGAGACCTTGTTCTCAGAAAAGCTGGCCTAACAGGGTTTTAAACTCGTTTTGGCAAACTCACCATGAATTGGGAAGGCCCTTATGCCGTGGCCGAGGTGCCATATCCTGGTGCCATATCCTGGTGCCTATGTCCTCCAAGACACTGAAGGAAAGAGAGTTCCTAGAGTCTGGAATGTCAATAACTTGAAGAAATTTTACCCCTAATAAAATTCTTTCAAGTGATCTATGTCTTACTGTTCTTTACACTTCTCACTTCGTGTTTGGTGAGATTTTTTTACCTCTTATTCTATGTACCTGAGGTCAATTAGTTCTTTCATTCCTTGAAACCTCACCTCTGATTAATAAATGTCATTTCACATATGAAGTGCTTTATTTCCTTTTAATTCATTTGCCATCAATGTCCTTGTTCTCAATTTATTTGAAGTGATTTACTTCTTTGTAATTCGTCTGAAGTGATTTACTTCCATTTTGTTTATTTTTGAAGTGGTTAGCCTTCTTTCAAATCATGTCTCAAGTACTCTCAGTTCTTCTATTAATAAAAAATAACAAAAATATAAACCAAACATAAACAAACATATAATTTCATTTAACAAAATAACAGTGTTACAAACTGTCTAAATGTTTTTACAAGAAATTAAAAAATAAAATTATTTCTCCGCTGGGAGAGGTGGCTCCACTGGCTCCTGCTCAGCTGGAGGAGGTGGTTGTGTTGGCTG